ACGGGCCCCACCCACCGCCCGCCCGCCTGCCTGGCCCCTGTGCCCATCAGGCTGGGGTCCCCCTGGCCCCTCTTCACAGCATCATCTGGAAGAAAGTAATCGTCACAGTGACCAACTGCTGTTTTTTACTGCGAGTCCAGGAACAAAGGAGTTGTTCCTCGTGTGTCTAGAATTAGCTGGGTCCCGGTGCCTATTCTTAGGAACTCTGGGCGTGAGGGGCGCGTGGAGCCTGAGCCTCGCCTTTCTCACCCGCAGGTGCTGGACAAGTACAACCCCCCGGACCACTTCCTCCCCGAGTCCTACACGTGCTTCTTCCTGCTGAAGCTGCCCAGGTACTCCTGCAGGCAGGTGCTGGAGGAGAAGCTGAAGTACGCCATCCACTTCTGCAAGTCCATCGACACGGACGACTACGCCCGCATCGCGCTCACGGGCGAGCCGGCGGCCGAGGACAGCAGCGAGGACTCCGAGAACGAGGACATGGACTCCTTTGCCTCGGACTCCACCCAGGACTACCTGACGGGGCACTGAGAGGGCGCCCGGCCGTGGGGCGTGGGCGGGAGCGTCCCCCGGATGCCAGGCGCGGGACTGTGGCTCGGCTGAGACGCTGACGGGATGTCAGGAATCTTCCTGCACGCGGCGCCGTGGACACAGACGCTCATCGAGATGAAGGGTCCCCCCGTGACGCTGCGTCACCTTGTGCTTGTGTTTACTGGGATGTACATGTGTGTAAATACTGACTCGAGCCCCCCGAACGAATAAATGCCTCTCTACCTGGGTATGGTGCCGTTTCCTTCCTCCAGGTCTGTGCGTTGTCTGGATTGTACGTTGGAAACGCTGTGTAACCATCGACTTGCATTATAAATACTTTGTTTTACTCTGACTTTATTAAATTCTTTTTGAACCTGAAGTGATCAGCGTTACTTGAATGCATCCGGAGGTTATTTCAACCAACCAAAGCGGATAGGCCCGTGGTGCCCCCTCCAGGTGCGCATCTCGGTGTGCGCAGTGTGCGGGGCTGGTCTGAGCACTGTCCTGACCCTGTCGTGGAAAGTGTACTATACAGTGTTGTCATGTATATGCCTAAATTTTAATGTCCTATAAATAAAACATCTGTCAAAAGCTGTGAGCGGTTTCTTACCTGGTTGGCGCAGTGGGTGTGCACAACCGAGAGCCCCACAAATTAGTCCCCGATGGGATGGGAAGGCCGTTCCATTCTGGGCAGACTTTTTGGTTACAAAAGCCAAACTCACACAGTGACAGAGGAGTGGTCATCAGAGAATGAAAGCGGGGGGGTCCTGACCTCCCCTCTGGCCTGGGGTTGGGAGTGTCTCCAGCCCCCTCGGCCCTGGGCTGGGGCTTCACTGGGGCTAAGTTTGTTCTGGGTCGTGAGGGGCAGGCTGGGGGCAGGCCTAGTGCCCTGGAACTTGGGTCAGTGGCACCAGGTGGGGCCACAGCAGGGGTTTCGTGCTGGGAGACTTTCCTCAGGGACCCACGTTTTACACGAAGACCCAGAGAGGAGGCAGTTTTTTTGGCATCTTATCCGTCACCAAACTGGTGAATGCCCAGATTAGGCCTTTTAAACTTGGCTCAGAAGTCTCATAAACTGGGGGGTGTTTCTTTGTGTTTTTTTTGTTTGTTTGTTTGTTTTTTGGTTAATTCTCACCCAAGGTTATTTTTTCCATTGATTTTTAGAGAATGGGAGGGGGGGAGAGAAACATGGATGTGAGAGAGACATCAGTTGGTTGCCTACTGCACACGCCCTGACTGGGCCCAGGGATCGAACCTGCAACCCAGGTATGTGCCCTTGACCAGGAATCGAACCCGCAACCCTTTGGTGCCAGTACTGTAATCACTGAGCCACACCAGCCAGGGCAGCTGTGGGGTACTCTTAATCACAACCCTTTTGTTAACCAGCCTTTGCTGCGTAACAAACTACCCCAAAGTCAGCGGCTGCAAGAGGTGGCAGGTATTTCTCAGGCACCCAGGTCGGCTGGTCTTGGCTGTCCCCCACCCACGCTCAACTGCACTGTCCTCTCCCACGTTCCCCGGGCGGACCCCAGGCAGTGGGCGGGCACCCGTCTCCCGTCTCCTACCTCTAGATCAGCAGCTCCCAAAGCCCTGTTTGAGGATCCCGGTTCCCGAGTCCGTTTCAGGGGGGCCACAAGGCCCTCCCTCTTTCCAAGTACAGAACCCGCCTGAGGCCGAATTGTCGTAACATCTTTCAACCCAAACCACGTATTGCAACCCGTGGACTGCAGAGCGGGAGTTGGCCCCCTGCCGCGCCCCCTGAGCCTGACCCTAACGAGATGGGTGGAGTGTCAGTGCCTCGCTCATGGGTTTGTTTTGTTTTGGAAGGTAATTTTTCAAAAAAATAGCCACGTTTGTAAGTAATAGGTTTGCCCTGGCCGGTGTGGCTCAATGGGTTGGAGTGTTGTCCCGTACACGGAAAGGTGGTGGGTTCGATTCCTGGTCGGCACATGCCCAGGTTGCGGTTTCGATCCCTGGTCGGGCTGCGTGCAGGAGGCAGCTGATCCGTGTTTCTCAATTCAAGAAACTAAAATTTTAAAATAATAATTTAAAAAGTAGTAGGTTTGCTTTTATTTTAAAATGAATCTGTTTTGCGGTTTTCACTCCCGGTGTGGTGCTATTGATGGGCGTAACCCAGATAAAAGTGGAGGACCCCAAAGAGCTTCAAGAGGGGAAAAGGGCCCTGGGACCAAAAGTGCTGCAGCGTGAGGCTGCGAGTCCCGGGGCGCCGCGGGGCCAGACGGGGCAGCGCTCGCCCCCACGGGCTCTGTCTCCACTGCTGGGAGCAATCGTCCGAGATGCACTGCCGTGCTCACTCTTATTTTCAAACTTAAGGAACACGGGAAGGGTCTCTTTCCTCCACTCGCGAAAAACAGGTCATTTCAAGACAGCCTCAGGACAGTTACTGTCTTCAATGTGCTTTCTCACTGTCACCCGCTGAGTGACGCCGAGAGCTGTGGCCGTTGAGGCAGATGGACACTTGTGCAGCAGAACCCGGGGGAGGTAAACTGAGGAAGCCCCGCCCCTGCTGGGAAGGGAAGGGGCGGCCGCTTACAGGGATAGAGGCTGATTTCACTGGAGGCCCGCGGGACTCAGCTGTGCGTTCCTCCCTCCGGGGCAGTTAATGGTGGGACGCGTCCTGCTTGTCCTGGGCCCAGGTCCCGCAGGCCCACATCTGGAAGCGGCATCATCGCGGCATCCGCAGGGGGCGGCACCGGGCCCAGGGAAGGCGGAGGCAGCGCCTGGCTGGCAGGCGTTGGAGGGTGAACAGCTCCGAGGGGCGTCGTTTTCACGGCATGGAACACTGGAACACTGCCCGGCGTCACCACGGCCGGTGGCTTCGGGGTCGTGGGCTAGAACCTCAGGGTTAACGAGGCCCTCATGCCGGTCAGCCCGCAGTAGCAGCTGTGTGGGAACCTCGGGGTCCCCTCGGCCCGGGGGTGGAGGTCTTCGGTCCTTCCCTGCTCACCCTCTGCTCAGCACGATGGATCAGCCCGTCTGCAGGGAATTGCTGTACAGCCGGGACCACTGCTCCGCAAGAACAGGGCAGGAACCCTGGGGACTAGCAGGGGGTGGGAGCCCCGGGGCTCTTGCACTCACTCAGGGCCACCGCATAGGGCACTGGGGGTCACCCCCGCCTGCCCTTATTAGCCCTGGGTCCTTCTGATGGCAAATGTCCATCCTGGGCCAATCAGGAAGGGGGGTCCACGACCTTGGGACTCACACCCAAGGGCGCTCCGAGACCTCTGTGCCTGCAGCCACCTCGCCTGCCTTGCGGGCAGTGTGGACACTAGTCTGAGGGCACAGGTGATGTCCCGGCTACAGGCTGCACACAGTAGGTCCCCAGCTGCGGACCCTCCTCACTGCAGCTCTGATGGGCCTGCCATCGAGAACCAGGGGCTGTGTCCTTCCCCCCCGAGCCTGATTCTGTGACTGCTTGGCCAGTGACAGGGCAGACGTGACACCCGGCACCTGTCCTGTGTGCAGTCGGGCAGAGGCCACATGGGGGACCCTCCCAGAGTGAACGAGCCCACCAGACGCTCGTCGCCTCCTCCATTCGCCTCCCTGACTGTCCTGGGCCCCAGCTCAGCTGCTCCCACGAGCTTTCCGAATTCCAGACCCACGGCATCTGGGAGCAGGAAGAGATGGTCACGAGTGCCCTGGCCGGTGTGCTCAGTGGGTAGAGCGTCAGCCCACCCATCAAAGGGTCATGGGTTCGATTCCCGGTCAAGGGCTCATATCTGGGTTGCAGGTTCGGTTCCCACCCCGAGGCGCATGCAGGAGGCAACCAATCGATGTGTCTGTCCCCTCCCCGCCCCTCCCTCTATTCCACTCTCTCTAAAAATCAGTGGAAAAAATATCTTTGGGTGAGAGTTAACAACAGCAAAAGATGGTCCCACTTTTGCCACTGACCTTGGGGTGTTTGCTACAGCGGTAGATAAACGGCGCCCACGTGAGTCTGCCTTTGAGGTTTTTCTTTCTCGGGTTGCTCTCTGACCTGGGTTAAGAGGCAGGAGGAAGCTGCCCTGGCCGTCCCCCCGGTGTCCCCTCAATCCCTCATCTCTCGGGGTGTAGTGCACAGGCTGAGCCAGGCCACCCGTGGGCCGCGTGGTGAGGGCCACACAGGCTACGCAATCTGAGCAGGCAAAGGCTGGGGACCACGGGGCCCCAGGACTGGGTGGCATTCCTAAAGGGGAGATGCACATGGGTTTCCATGGGAACCGGGGGCTGCAGGGCTGGGGTGGGGGTCGTGCTGGGTCACACCTGTCTGTCGAGGGCGAGAGGCCAGGACACCGTCACGGGATCACACACAAACACATCAAATACGCACATACGCACGTGCACACAAAACCCACCGCTGCTTCCAGTGCGAGCAAAGGGGTTTTACTGCGGGCAGGACACGGCGTGTGCAGAAGAGCCGGGTACTTCAACCCAGGCCGGTGTGCTCAGTGGTTAGAGCGTCTGCCTGGGCACCGAAGGGTCCGTCAAGGGCTTGTTCACCCGCCCTGGTCCGAGTGAGGGCAGGAGGTAACCAATCAATGCGTCTCTCTCACTCCAATGTCCCTCCCTCCCTCCTTCCCTTCCACTCTCCGAAAATCAAGGGGAGAAAATAAATATCCTGGGGCCACCTGGGGTGATGTTGCCCTTTGCTCAAACATTTGGGGCGCCTCTATTTTGGAATTTCCCTTAGGAATTTCCTGAGCCATAGGAGAAAAGTGTGACTATGGTCAGATCTTGGTGACATCATCGGGCTCCGCACGGGAATCACCACGCGGGTCCTGAAAGGCCCAGTCACCTGTGAGGGAGGAAATGGGCCCCTCCCCGTATAGCAGCACCACCAGGATGGCCCGCAGGTGTCTCCCGCGGCCTCCTTCCCACTGAGCCTGGCTCAGCACCCAGGGGCGCGTTGGCAACGCCTAAGCAGCCCAGAGGCCGAGAGCGCGAGGTTCTGCCCAGCACGGCCGGCTCTGGGGGGGCTCAGGTGCCACGTGGGTTGGGACACGTGGCGGCCGGTCCCTGGAGCGGGGGCAGAGTTGATCCCCCTGCAAACATTTAGCAGCTGCTCAGGGGCCATGGGGAGCTTGTGATGGGGCAGGAAGAAGAGACGGTGCAGTTCGCCCGCTTGCCACACGTGGGGTTGCATGTGGTCACTGGTGAAGCTGGTGTCAGGTGCCACGGGTGTGGCCACTGTGCCCGGCTGGGGCTTCCGCAGCCTCCTCTGGGCCCCACCCCGTCGAGGATGCCCTGCCAGAGGGGCGGTGCAGGCCCGGAGAGCTCCCCCACGGGTCTGCACAGTGACCTTCGCCCTTCACAGGGCCCTCGGGCTCCGGGCTGAGCGAGGTGTGCCAGCATTTCAGCTGGTCACAGGCTCCGTGGTGC